GCTTGGCCGACGGCACTCTGAGGAGGCCCGCTCTGTGGGAGCGTACCGGTCTGTGGGAGGGAATCTGTGGCAGAAGGCGATCTGTCTGTCTGTCTGTCTGTCTGTCTGTCTGTCTGTCTGTCTGTCTGTCTGTCTGTCTGTCTGTCTGTCTGTCTGTCTCTCTCTCTCTCTCTCTCTCTCTCTCTCTCTCTCTCTCTCTCTCTATATATATATATATATATATATATATATATATATATATATATATATATATATATATATTCTATCATATCTATCTATCGGTCTATATCTTCTATCATATCTATCTTCTATCATATCTATCTATCTATCTATCTATCTATCTATCTATCTATCTATCTATCTATCTATCTATCTATCTATCTATCTATCTATCTACCTAAATCTATTTATCTATCTTCTATCATATCTATCTAAATCTATTTATCTATCTTCTATCATATCTGTCTGTCTGTCTATCTATCTATCTATCTATCTATCTATCTATCTATCTATCTATCTATCTATCTATCTATCATCTACCTACCTACCTACATCTTCTATCATCTCTCTCTCTCTCTCTCTCTCTTCTATTATATCTATATCTATCTATCTATCTATCTATCTATCTATCTATCTATCTATCTATCTATCTATCTATCTATCTATCTATCTATCTATCTATCTATCTATCTATCTATCTTTTATTTACTTACATACTGCCTCTACTCTTTATAAACAACTCAATGCTTGGACATATCTACTAATCCTTCCTCCTATTTTCCACACAACACAGCACTGCACAACTATGAGGTGGGTTAGGCCAGCGGGCTTTCATGCCTAAGCAGGACTAGAACTCACTGTCTCCTGGTGATTGGTCCAAAGCCCCCCAGCTGGCTTTCACACCTAAGGCAGAACTAGAATTCACCGTCTCCTGGTGATTGACCCAGTCACTCAGCCAGCTTTCATGCCTAAGGTAGAACTAGAACTCACCGTCTCCCGGTGACTGGCCCAAAGTCACTCAGTCAGTTTTCGTGCGTAAGGCAGGACTAGAATTCACCGTCTCCTGGTGATTGCCCAAAAATCATTCAGTCAGCTTTTGTGTCTAAGGTGGGACTACAACTCACCGTCTCCTGGTTTCTAGCCTGCCACTGTAACCACTAACGCTTCAATCCATCCCAAGACAATTCTGCTAGGAAAACTAAGCAAGGGAATACCTTATATCCATTATCTTGTTTGGGATTATGAGAGGCCGTCACCATAATTCCAGCGGCAAGTTTGAGGTGGTTCACTGTATACGGCTAGAGAAAAATCAGAAGAAAAATATTAGGAAGAAAGGAGGCTGATGTCCATGGAGATTCTCATGCCATCCAGATCGTGGTTGTCCCAAAGGTGCTTTTTTTTTAGGAGGCAACTGGACCTTCTTGTTTTTCTTTGAAGACGTTTCGCTTCTCATCCCAGAAGCTTCTTCAGCTCTGACCGGATGATGGGGAACGGAAGGATTTATACTCCTTGCCGACAGCTGGTCACTTGCATCCTTTTAGAGCAGTGTTTCTCAACCTTGACAAGTTTAAGGCATGTGGACTTCAACTCCCAGAATTCCACAGCCAGCAATGCTGGCTGTGGAATTCTGAGAGTTGAAGTCCACATGCCTTAAACTTGTCAAGGTTGAGAAACACTGTATTAGAGAGTCCTTGAGGCCACTTGGAGGCTTATCTGTGTCCTCAGGGTCCCCTGAGTGGTGCAAATGGGTGTGGAGCCTTCTTGGGACTCCTGAGGGGACTGTGTTGTGGAGCTGTGCTTTCTGTGGGGTGTTTTCTTCCCTGTGTCCTTTTCACTGAAAAAGCACCTTTGGGACAACCATGACCTGGATGACGGAGAATCCCCATTGACATTTAGCCATGCCCTTTGGAATAAACACCCTTTGAATGGTGCGGGTGTATGAACGGATTTCCAGAAAACATGGCAGACCACAGGAACCATTGGAGCTTCAGTTTGAGATTCAGACAACACAGACACATCCCCAACAGCCTCCACCTGTCTCCAACAGGGAAGGGACATGGGGCAGAAAACATCCTGCAGCCAAAAAAGGCTTCACACCCAATTTGCACCACTCAGGTGACCCTGAGGACACAGATAAGCCTCCAAGTGGCTTCAACGACTCTCTAAAAGGATGCAAATGACCAGCTGTCTGCAAGGAGTATAAATTCTTCCATTCCCCACCCTCCAAGTGGCCTCAACGACTCTCTAAAAGGAGGCAAATGACCAGCTGTCTGCAAGGAGTATAAATCCTTCCATCCTTCACCATCCAGTCAGAGCTGAAGAAGCTTCTGGGATGAGAAGTGAAACGTCTTCAAAGAAAAACAAGAAAGTCCAGTTGCCTCCTGAAAAAAAAAAGCACCTTTGGGACAAAGAAGGCTGACAAATTTCACCTCCATTCCTTCTGGTGACATCTTCACTCCACTGGAAGTCTACCTGCCCTCCCAAAATGAGAAGACACAGGCTGGGATGTGTGTGTGTGTCTTCCAATGTTAACCACCTCACTACAAAGCAACAACTTTGAACAACTTTGAACAAGCAGAGGGAAGAATCCTAAGACCCCATCAGTCTCCACTGAGGCTTAAATTCACCAGAGGTCAATGCTTTTCAAACTGCATAGGGCAGTGATGGTGAACCTTTTAGAGACCGAGTGCCCAAACTGCAACCCAAAACCCACTTATGTATTGTCGGGTGCCAGGTGGGCGTGGCCCATTGGGTGGGTGTGGCCCATTGGGTGGGCGTGGCTGCGGTGGTAACGGCAGACTAGGTGGGACTAAAAAGTTCAATCAATCACTTCCAACTTTGCAAGATCTTTTTTTTTCTCACGAGAAGTTGAAATTGACTGATTGATTGAACTTTTTTTTTTTGCACATGGCGGTGGATGCCTAAAGCGAAAAGGTTTTATAAAACCCAGCTGAAGGCCTAGGACTAGGGCGACAGTGCGCGTGCCCACAGAGAGGGCTCTGAGTGCCGCCTCTGGCACCCGTGCCATAGGTTCGCCACCACGGGCATAGGGAGTCGTCGACTTAACAACAGTTTATTTAAGGACCGTTTGAAGTTATGACATCACTGGAAAAAAAAGTGACTTTCACGGATCGCAAAATGGGGCAAAACTCACTTAAGAAACGTCTTGCTTAGCAATAGAAAGTTGGTGGCTGTACGTTGAGAACTACCTGTATAAGAAATAACCATATATTTATGATTTCACGGGCACATTTATGTTGTAATGACACCCAAAATGCCTTGTTGAGGCAGACGGCTGTAGAAATCAAACAAATAAACAGAGTTTCGGGGATGGTTGAAGAAGAAAAAATGGCTTTGGAAGAATATCTGAAGGACAATGATGAAGATGCACTGAAATTAATATATCAGGAAGGCTTACTGATTACTGGAAAGACCAAACTGGCCTACAAGAAAGACCAAATGAAGAACAGAATAGAGGCATGGGAAGACAAAGCACTACATGGCCAGTACATTAAAAAAAATAGCTGGGAAAGCAGATAATAACAAGACCTGGCAATGACTAAGAGCAGGAAAATTGAAGAAAGAGACCGAGGGACTGATTCTGGCTGCACAAGACCAAGCCTTAAGGACAAATTCATATAAAGTCAAAATTGAGAAGACAGCAACAGACAGTAAGTGCCGCCTGTGCAAAGAAGCTGAAGAAACAGTGGACCACCTGGTAAGCTGCTGCAAGAAGATCGCACAGTCTGACTACAAACAGCGGCATGACAAAGTAGCAACAATGGTGCATTGGAAGATCTGCAAGAAATATCATTTGCCTGTAAGCAAGAACTGGTGGGATCATAAAATAGAGAAAGTCATAGAAAATGATAAAGTTAAACTGCTCTGGGACTTCAGAATTCAAACAGACAAGCACCTGCAACATAACACCCCAGACTTAACAATTGTCAATAAGAAAGACAAAAAATATCCACTGGATAGTGGACATGGCAGTGCCTGGAGACAGCAGAATAGACGAGAAAGAACTGAAGATAACAAAATACAAAGACCTACAAATAGAAATAGAAAGACTGTGTCAAAGGCAAGCAAGGTTAGTACCAATAGTAATAGGCGCCTTGGATGCAATCCCAAAACAACTGGAGCACCACTTGGACACCATCGGCATTGACAAATTCACCATTAGTCAATTGCAAAAGGCGGCCTTACTAGGAACTGCTTCCATCCTGCGACGATATCTGTAATACCATCAAACATCCACATCTGCCTATCCCAGGTCCTTGGGAAGGACTCGACAGGTAGACAAAAATGCCAAATCCAGTCTGAACATCTGGCTGACTGTGCGATGATCAATAATAATAATAATGTCTAACTGACTGCAAAGCTAGACATGACCGAGTTGCTAAATTAATCTACTGGGCATTGTGTAAAAAATACGACTTGCCTGTGTCCGAAAAGTTGTGGGAACCTAGGGTGGAAAAAGTGGTTGAGAATGAGAGGGTGGAGATCTTGTGGGACTTTCGAATACAGACAGATTACCATTTGGAACACAACACGCCAGATATCGCAGTTGTAGAGAACCAAAGTGTACAGCTGATTGATATCACTGTACCAGGAGATGCCAGAGTCAAAGAAAAAGAACTGGAAAAAAAAATCACGAAATATTGCGACCTGGCCATCGAAAATGCGTGATTATGGATGAAACGTGTAACGGTGACACCCATCGTCATCGGGGCACTGGGAACTATGTCCAAAAACATTGCAAAATACATCAAGAAACTGCAGCTTCCTGCAATAACTCCAGCAACTCTACAAAAAAACTGCGCTACTTGGAACATCTTACATTTTAAGGAGGTACCTGGTTGATACCCAGGATGCTGGCAGCAACCTATGTCAACCATCAGCGCCAGCCAATTTGAATGTTCAGTTGACTGAGGTTCACGTCCAATCTATCTATATTCTATATCTATATCTATATCTATATCTTCTTCTTCTCTATATAAATAAAAATGTAAATGTTTGTTTGTTCAAAATCTTAAATCTCCGAAAGTTCTTCACTGATTGCTTTTAAATTTTGACACAACGTTGCATTCGAATACGCACGTGTTTTTATATACCTACTATTATATAGATGTCACACCTGTGACACAAACGTGTGCTTTCTCTTTTCTTTCTTTTCCATTTAACCAGACTGAGCCACAGCAACGCGTGGCTGGGTACAGCTAGTGAATAATAATAATAATAACTTTATTGTCACTTTGAATGTACACCAATCGGCATACATCAAAATGAAATTTCGTTGCCTACAGCAAGGCTTTTCAACCAGTGGTACGGGTACCACCTGTGATACATTGGCACCTGGCAGGTGGTACACAACCATCCTAGAAAAGTAGCGGGGGGGGGAATGAGCTGAACCGGCGGCAGCATCAAACAAGCCTGAGCGAGAGATGGCTGGAGCTGCAGGGCTGTCCGGGCTCAGCGGAAGCGCCAGGATCAGTGCCGCTTTCCAGCTGATCTGCGCTTCTTCGGGGCTGTCAGGGCTCAATGGAAGCACCAGAATCGGTGCCAAGCTCTAGCTGGAGCTCAGCGCTGATCCTGGTGCTTCTGCTGAGCCCAGAAGAACCCCCATCAGCTGGAATGTTGCAGCATCTCCAGGATCTTGTAATTTACATTCAGATGCTTGGCAACTGATTCATATTTATGACGGTCACAGTGTCCCAGGGTCATGTGAAGTGACCAAAACCTGCTGCAACCACCCAGCAGACGGGGGGAATAAAAACCAAACACCCCCCCACCCCACCCCCGCTGCCAATCTTCAACAGAAATGCTCACAACAATGGAAACCTCGGACAGGAGGAAGTGTGCTGCCGGGCGGGCAGGCAGGTGACTTGCTCGGCTGTGGCTCGGGGGGCACTTTTTTCAGTGCCATTGTAACTTCGAACAGTCACTAAGCGAACTGTTGTAAGTCGAGGACTACCTGTACTTCATCACTTTTTTCCTTTTTTATTTTGGTCATCAAGTTTTTGACACCTTGTTAGGCGACTGGTGGTCCTCGGATGTTGCCATATCCTAAAAGTGGTACAATGGGTGAAAAGGTTGAAAAGCCCTGCTCTAAATGTTTTGATGGGAAAAATAAAGGTATACAGAAAAGAACATGCTGAGAGGCCAATTGGCGAAAACCCAAGCCCTGGCCTACAGCTCTGAAAGGGCCACCACCTCCGATACACACTCCTTGTTCGTGGCCAGCTCAAGTTTCAGATCGTCCATTTTAGTCTCTAGGGAGCGAACGATGGCAAATAGGACAGGTGGAAACGGAGCTCCATGTGGATCAGCCCTCAAATTAGCTTGTATTCCTATGTCATTCTATCTGCCTTTCATCGGAGGAACACGTGAGCGACAAAAAAAACGGCAACGAAAACCCTACCACAAAAGGAGTAGGTGTGATCTGGGAGAAAAGGTAGACAGGAATGCCCTGGGTGAGGAACGTCGTGGCAGCGAGTCTTGCAAACCTGTTAGTCCAGAAAGGAGAGGGAAAATAAAAATAAAAATAAAACCAGTCAGACTTGAATTCTAACACAATAAACTTCACCTTGCTGCTGTGTTTAGTTGACCCCTGAAGCCACTTTTTTTTCTTTGACGTTTACCCCAAAGAAACGTTTTTATGTTTTATAACCGAAGCTGCCCAGAGTCACTTTGTAGGCTGGCGTAAACATTTAATAAAGAAGTAAATAAAATAAATCAGCTCTACCGAATGGATGTATGAGTTGACCCCGTGAACACATTTAGGAATAAATCAATATATTCCCCATTATAAGCATACAGTACAAGTATCCTGGAAAAACACATTGCTGTTAAAAGTTGTGGCTAATAATAATAATAATAATAATAATAATAATAATAATAATAATAATAATAATGATGATGATGATGATAAAGTTGGAAGGGACCTTGGAGGTCATCTAGTCCAACCCCCTGCTCAGGCAGGAAATGTATCCCACCTTTATCATGTTTTTATAAATAACTCAAGGGGGAGGGGACATATCCAACACAATCCTCCTGCTGGTTTTCAGGCCTAAGGCGGGACTAGAACTCACCGTCTCCTGGTGATTGGCCCAAAGTCACCCTGCTGGTTTTCAGGCCTAAGGCGGGACTAGAACTCACCACCTCCTGGTGATTGGCCCAAAGTCACCCTGCTGGTTTTCAGGCCTAAGGCGGGACTAGAACTCACCATCTCCTGGTGATTGGCCCAAAGTCACCAAGCCAGCTTTTATGTCTAAGGCGGAACTAGAACTCCCAGGTTCCCAGTTTCTAACCCAATGCCTGAATCATTACACCTGATTCTCTTGACCTCTAGAGCAATAGCACTGAGACTTATATACCGCCCTACAGTGCTTTACAGCCCTCTCTGAGCAGTTTACAGAGTCAGCCTTTTACTCCTCAACAATCAGGGTCCTCCTTTTACCGACCTGGGAAGGACGGAAGGCTGAGTCAACTTTGAGCCCGTCAGGATCGAACTCCTGGCAGTGGGCAGAGTTAGCCTGCAATACCGCATTCTAACCACCGCGCCACCATGGCTCTTCCTGATATTTGCCACTCATGAGTTTCTCTTTATGGAACCTGTACTTACCTATCTAGAATTGTTTTTAAAATAATAGATGGGCTAGTTTCAATGAGCAATAACGACTCCCTGCGCTGAACCGAGGTTAAAAAAAAAATACATATTTCCTTGTGATTCAAAAAAAAAAAAAGTTACAAGCAGGGCAGGAATTGTGACAGATACCTTTTGCTGCTACCACCAGTTGGTGGATGGGCTCGCGCATCGTAGCCGATAACCACGCCTCTTTGTTTCAGGTGCCTGACGTTCTTTTTAAGATAGCTACAAAATCCCTACAAGCAGAACAAAACAGATGGCTTTAGCAGTTTTATTAAGCTGTCTTAGTTGCGGCACACCTTCCCTAGACGACCCATTGGAAGGAGAATAGAAGAGAATAGAGAATAGAGAATAGAGAATAGAGAATGGGAATAGAATAGAATAGAATAGAATAGAGAATGGGAATAGAATAGAGTAGAGTAGAGTAGAATAGAATAGAGAATGGGAATAGAATAGAATAGAATAGAGAATGGGAATAGAATAGAGTAGAGTAGAGTAGAGTAGAGTAGAATAGAGAATGGGAATAGAATAGAATAGAATAGAGAATGGGAATAGAATAGAATTAGAATAGAATAGAATAGAATAGAGAATGGGAATAGAATCAAATCGAATAGAATAGAGTATAGAGTAGAATAAGAATAGAATAGAGAATGGGAATAGAATAGAATAGAATAGAATTTGGAATATAGAATAGAATAGAGAATGGGAATAGAATAGAATAGAGAATGGGAATAGAATAGAATAGAGAATGGGAATAGAATAGAGTAGAGTAGAATAGAATAGAATAGAATAGAATAGAGCAGTGGTGGCGAACCTATGGCACGGGTACCAGAGGCGGCACTCAGAGCCCTCTCTGTGGGCACCCGCACCGTCGCCCCAGTCCTAGGCCTTCAGCTGGGTTTTATAAAACCTTTTCACTTTAGGCCTCCGCCACCGTGTGCAAAAAAAAAAAAAAGGTTCAATCAATCAGTCAATTTCAACTTCTTGCGGGGAAAAAAAAGATCTTGCAAAGTTGGAATTGATTGATTGAACTTTTTAGTCCCACTCAGTCTGCCGTTACCACCGCGGCCACGCCCAGCCAATGGGCCACCCCCACCCCAATGGGCCACCCCCACCCAATGGGCCACACCCACCCGGCACCTGACGATGCGTAAGTGGATTTTGGGTTGCAGTTTGGGCACTCGGTATCTAAAAGGTTCGCCATCACTGGAATAGAGAATGGGAATAGAATAGAATAGAATAGAATAGAATAGAAAATAGAATACAATAGAATAGGAATAGAATAGAGAATAGGAATAGAATAGAGTAAAATAGAATGGGAATAGAATAGAATAGAGAATGGGAATAGAACAGAGAATAGAATAGAATAGAATAGAATAGAATAGAATAGAATAGAATAGAATAGAATAGAATAGAATAGAATAGAATAGAATAGAATAGAGAATGGGAATAGAATAGAGAATAGAATAATATAGGAATAGAATGGGAATAGAATAGAATGGGAGTAGAATAGAATGGGAATAGAATAGAATAGAATAGAGTAGAGTATAGAGTAGAGTAGAGTAGGATAGGATAAGATAGGAGAAAGCTGGTCATTTGCATTCTTTTAGAGAGTTGTTGAGGCCACTGAGAGGTTTATTTACATCCTCACCATCCTCACAGGTGACCCTGCACAACATAGTCCTTCCAATGGTCCCAAGAAGGCATCCATACCCATTTGCACCACTCAGATGACCCTGAGGACACAGTTAACCTCCAAGTGGCCTCAACAACTCTCTAAAAAGATGCAAACGACCAGCTGTCTGCAAGGAATATAAATCCTTCTACTCCCCACCATCCAGTCAGAGCTGAAGAAGCTTCTTGGGTGAGAAGCAAAACATCTTCAAAGAAAAGCAAGAAAGTCCAGTTGAAAAAGCACCACCGAGGACACAGATAAACCTCCCAGTGGCCTCAATGACTCTCTGAAAGGAGGCAAATGACCAGCTGTCTGCAAGGAGTATAAATCCTCCCATTCCCCACCATCTAGTCAGAGCCGAAGAAGCTTCTGGGATGAAAAGTGAAACATCTTCAAAGAAAAAACAAGATTAAATCCAGTTGCCTCCTGAAAAAAACAACAACTTTGGGACAACCGAGGCCTGGAGGACCAAGAATCTCCACAGACATTAATTAAGCACACAGAGCTCAATCTGATACCTGTGAAGTCTGAATAATAGTCAGGTCATTCATCTGTGAGGTTCCGGGTCCCATAGCCGCTCGTAGTCCTGCTGTGCCAAATTCCATCCGGGAGCCGAAACATTTTAATAATTCTTCCGTGTTTCCCTTGGCAATCAGCTGCTTCACTATTTCCAAAGTTTTAGGATTCTGCAAAATAAGACAATCTTGGGTTTAGTCGTGGTCTTTCGTTGCACCCGCGTCTGCTGAGCGGCAGGAAAATGGTTCACGTCGCAACACCAAGATAAAAACATACTTATATGTGGTTAATGTGTACACAGAGAGTCCCCAACTTACAACCATGTCTGTTGCTAAGTGAGACTTGTGTTAAGGGCATTTTGCCCCCTTTTAACACCTTTCTTGCCCAGTGACTCACGGCCGTTGCTAAATGAATCACACGGACGTTAAGCGAATCTGGCTTCTCCACGGGGAAGTCAGAAGGTCACAAAAGCAGATCACGTGAGGCCGGGGACACTGCAACCGTCGTAAATATGAGTCGGCTGCCAAGTGTCTGGATTTTTTGATCACGTGACCCTGGGGATGCTGCAACGGTCGTAAGTGTGAAAAACGGTCGTGCTATTTTCGGTGCCGTGGTAACTTTGAGAGGTGGCTAAATGAACTGCTGTGAGTCGAGGACTACCTGTGTAACACTGAAAAACATAGAAAAGTAATAATAATAATAATAATAATAATAATAATAATAATAATAATAATAATAATAATAATAATAATAAAGTTGGAAGGGACCTTGGAGGTCATCAAGTCCAACCCCCTGCTCAGGCAGGAAACCCTATACCATTTCGGACAAATGGCTGTCCAGACTCTTCTTAAAAACTTCCAGTGTTGGAGCATTCACCGCTTCTGGAGGCAGGTTGTTCCACTGGTTAATTGTTCTAGTGAAATGCTTACTTCAGGCCCTCCTATTCAACAGACCGTTACACCAATTTAACTAATGTAAAATAGTCTTATTAATTGAACAAGGCTACAGGTATAAAGAAATGAGAAGAAAAAATGGGTGGAA